CCTATGAGTTGGTTAGCGCCTGCATCGAAGTATGTGGACAAACATCATCATGCTTGTTTAGCGAGGTAGATCTGAGCCATCAGTCGAATCTACTTACTAGACCACAGTGTAGTTAACATATAGAGAAGTCGTAGGTATATATATATACTCGTATACCTACGACTTCTCTATATTTTATATACCTATAATATGCCAAAAAGTATATATTACGAACAGAACCCGCGGCTACACCTACAAAAAATCCAATCTACAAAAAAAACTCTTTGGCTTGTTCATGCAAAAATCAAAAAATGGGGTTGGGGGTGTTGGGGTAGGAGGGTGAAAATACTTTACGACCTATTCTCGTACCTATCAAATATACTAAAAAATATTTTAAAATCGGTCGAGCTGTTTCGGAGGAGTGCGACCATAAGCAACGTGACACGAGATTTTTATATATTAGGTGATAATAGTACATATATATGTATATATATGTGTTAGTCCAGATCATATTCTATACATTATCTATATTTCATCCGTTCAGCCGTTTCAGCGTGATGGAGTCGCAGACATACACACAAATGTACAAAATATTTGCATATAAAATTATATTATGATTAAATATTTTATATCACACACATATTTTATATGCACAGCAATCAAACTAACACTTTCGTACGTATAGTGTAAGCGAGTAAGGAATACCCATTTAAAAAAATATGCTTACATGATATATATGTATAATAAAAGGACATACTTTTTAAGAAAAATAAAAATTTAGTACTTTATGCTTAAAAATTGATGAAGAAAATAACATGAGTGTTAATTCATAGTCACTTATTTTAAATGCGAGTATCGACAGAATAACATATGAGGTAATAAATAAAAAATGTACGCTGCAGATTGTGTTACGACGTATTTGGTATTACTAATAATATGTAATAAGAAATACTTTGTAACCTGGAGATCTGTTAGTTTTAATAAAAATAAAACAAATTTCTTATTTTTTTTTTAAGACAGCAGTTTTGAGCACGCGTTTTCGTATTACAGGGCCAGGTAAAGTTTTGTTTAAAATTGTTTTTAATTGCGAACGATTGTGTATGTGTATTTTACTTCTTCACGCTAAAACCACTGGACAGATTTAGATTAGACTAGCGACTCACCCTCGCTCCACTCGAGTTCGTGCCTACTTACTTTTTAATATAGGCATAGTATAGATTTCTCAAAAATGAGATATTTTTACGCAGTAAAAAGTATCCTATATGTTGACCTGGAAAACGAGCTATTATAATACCAAATTTCGTCAAAATGCCTCCAGAGGTTTTCCGTGAAATGGTCACAGACAGACAGACAAAAATTCTAATAACTATAAATTCGTCTTCTGTATCGATAGTAAGTAATATCTATTTCAATAAGATTTTCCAAAAAATACTTAATGTACAGATTTGACTAGTTAGAATTTTACTATATGTATAGATATAATACACAAATAGACTATGATTGATATGGTCGTCAGTTTATTTAGGTATCCCGAGAAATCATAAGATATAAAAATTTTAGTGAAGTAAAAATTCAATTTGGAAAAACCGATTAGGAAAACTTCTGAAATATAAATTATATAGTATAGGAATGCGTGACATTACTTAACTAAGCGTAAACGACTGATAAGTACAAATTACGTCAAACAACGTGAACAAAGAATTTGAAAAAAATGTATTTTACACATCTGTATGACGGAATGTTACACGTAATTCGCTGTATAAAATTCTTATTATGTCAATAGAATTTTGTGGCCGATACTTTATTTGTGTCACCGGCTCCGATAGTATCATATTATCGTTCTATAGATCTTCTATGATAATAAAAGTGGTAAGGGTACAGTACCCGTAAATCTTTTTTAGGGCTCAGATATTAGCGCTAGTGATGCGCAGTAACATAATATTTTAGATGACTCGCGCCTAAGTTAAGAAACCTCGAAAAGACTATATATTCTCAGATTAAAGGAAAAAGAAAAATATTCGAAACATGCGGAAGATATTGATTAAATTTTGAAATGGTATTATAATTAACTAATTTATAATACCATTCTTAGTGCCAAAAAAGCAAGGAGAATTTTGTATATATAATTTTCTTTACTCTGTACAAATTTTTTAATTCTAATAAACTTTATATTTATTATAATTTAAGGTTTCCTGAAATAATTTCCATATTCTCTAGTGCTTTATACACTCATATTGTGTAATGTACTAATTTGTATTTCAAATATTTAAAAAGAGAATTAAAGTTTTATTAATAAATTTTTGTTATCTGTAGATAGTAAAATTAGTGATAAAATGAATAATACTATGCAGATATTAAATCACTACTGACACGCCCTCCTTATTAGACATGTCTCTACCTGACTTTTGCAAATTAATAAATCTATCGAAGACTATATCGCTATGCGAACCATGAACTATCTCTACGTAAAAAAACACATCGATTCGTAGCGCACTTCGTAGTATTAGAGTTTTAAATACAGAGCAAGGAAATAGGGTAATTAAAGGTTAAACTTCATTCGTTATTATACAAATCCTATACTAGTATGAAAGAACACACACGTTTTTCTGAAGTTAACGTGTTGTTACGATGTTTAGTGTGTCTCTACTGCCATCCTACTCTATAGGGCCGCCTAGGTGCTAATCGTAGAACGCACGCATATGCGGCATCATACCTCAACCCTATTTGTTCTTTAAGTTACATTTCACCTGTAAACGGCTTCTTCCGGCCAGATTATTGGAATCGCTTTTTGGTTACCAACCGACTACTTAAGCTTCATAAAAAACTAAAGCTTTTCACATGTTTGATTTACGAGAATTCCATTCACGTTAACTTAAATTAAGCTCTTTGCAAAACTAACGGGCTTTGTGATGACCTTCTTAGTTTTAAGGAAAGTTATACGGTTTAATAAAATAAATGACAATTTTTACGTCGAACATTTTGATTCTTAACAAACAGGCGTCGATTTCCGAAGTTATGGACTTAATCCGATAATAAAAAGCCAAGCATTTGCCTAATCTTTATAAACACCTTTGGCATAAAATGCCACCCAACTGACCCTGTCAAATACATCGACGTATAAAATTCTATAAGAGGGAACTTTGTTGCATGTCACTAATAAAAAGCGGCCTTAGTTCTGGATTTCGGTACTAAAACATAATGATTTTGAGACTATTTAACAGTAGAATAATGATATAATTTCAGAAAGATATCTTTTGCTTCGGGTCCCTTTTATGAGCTCTGACTGAAACCACTTTAATTGCCAACAAAATAAGTATTCATATCATCGGAAAGGATAAAAGGTAGGATGAAATAATTAAAGGTAGTAGCGAGTTAAATATGATTTAATTTCGTAATTTTTCTTAGCAATTATATGATTTCGTTTTCAGCATCTGAATAATTATAAATATAGACACAACAATACATACACTGTGTCACATGACAAGTTGAATTTTGTATATAAGCGCATAATCGTTAACTATTTTACATATCATTATTTGGAATGTGTCTTTTAATATTTCGTGGACTATAAGAAAATATTATGTAGATGGAATCATGTAGCAAGCGACGCTCACTCTAAATGGAAGCAACATCGACACTTTAGCGTATAGTGGACTTTAAATAGACACTGGGCGTAGGATACACTATGTTTTAAATTCAATTATTCGTCTTATGTTAAACAATTTTTATCTACTCGTAGTTTACAGACATAAACTTAATGCTAGGTACATTGCGAACACAAGGTCATACAAGGTCATACACTGCCACCACACTATGGCACAGATCTTATTAATATATTAAATATTATTATGTCCTTTATCATTTAGTTACAGTTACATAATTTATAATCGGTGTAACGTTTTAAATAATGATGTCTTTATTGTTTTTTCATAACGGAATGTAGAATTCTGAATTACGTAAATAATTACCAGTTTCTTAAATAATAAAGACAGTCATTTTACATCGAAAAAATTGATTTAGGACGTAAAGAGATTCGAAACCTATCACTCTCAGGCAAACACTTAAAAAAATATTTACAAAACTCTCAAAATCATACATTTAATTTAAATGAAACAAAGAAACAAAATTTTAAGAAAAGATGTGTTGGTGAAGGTACAAAGAAATCTAGGTCGTACGCACTATTATCAAGTGTGGCTAATCACAAGAGAGCAGTTGGTCGTATTTACCCATTAATTATTAAATATAAAACATTTTAATACAACTTTACAACTAACATCTACGCTTACAATTTTTTGATTAACGTTCGATAAATAAGTAAACACGTTTATTATATTTACAAGCAGATAACACGATCCGTACTAAATTAAGAGTAAAGCATTAAATAATAATACACTGAGAATTGACGTAAAGGCGCTATGACATTATGGCGAGCCAGCCGGAGCAATCGAGGTTCGTAAACTCAAACGTTTTCAAGGAGATGCATTTCAAGGAACGGACAAATTTGTTTCGACACATATTAATGACGACCGCATAGTTTCCTCTCAATGGCATCAAAGTTCAGCGGTGGTCTGTCGGAAGACTCGTGACTAGCGAGGCTACTATTTGCTCTTTCCACAGAAAACCTTTTTTTCCTTTTAGAGCACAAGTCCGAGCGCACAAGAGCAAACGAGCACCACGATGTTACACGACCTTAAGGAATTTCACACGAACGTCTCGGCTTTTTCTCCCCATTCAAATGTTTGCTTTCTCGCTTCAGCTACCATTCATGCGACGTTTAGAACGCCTGTAACGTTATCCAGTCCTCGTCACTGTAATAATACTGCGGTAGTTGACTAATACTCGTCCACTCACAAGGTCCATCGACAGCTGGCAACGAAACGCGCGAAGCGTTAAAGCGTAAATGAGCTGCAATGTAAGACGGCGTCTACGTACCCTCGCAATTCCTTCGCCTTTGATGCCTGCCGTGGTGGTGGCGGACGTGGCAGGGTGGTTTGATGGAGTTCTGTGAAGGCCGAGGTCTACGCTGCGTACGATATTTGTTTAGATCTCCGGATATCAAAGCGTTGTGCTTGTTGATATCGAAATCGTGGGCTCTTATCATGAAGGAGAAGCACTTGTGCTGCCGCTCGGGAAGGTGGCTCTTCCCGCGTCTCACTTGCGCGCCTCTTCTGTTGAAACCTATATATCGGTCTTCGTTCTTCACCAAATGGTATCTGTTGTAGCCGTCCACAAATTCCTCTGTGAATAGACAGTTCGGTTGTCTCTCGGCTTGAAACCGCGTCTGGGGAAGGCAATTCATTTTAAAATCTTGCAATTATGACCACGTTTTTGTATAATAAATTGATAAATATCTAAACTCTCTAGTATAGACATATATAATACATATAATAAAATGTCCCTTACCAGTCGTCTGCCGACAAGTCGTGAACGATTGAAGCACAGGTACATGTCCTGCACAGGCGAATGGATGAGCAGGTCTAAGCTTAAACCGCGTGTGCTGATGGTGAGATTCGCTGTAACAAAAAAAAACATAGTATGACTATTTTGTTTTTATTAACTAGACTCTCCCATACATTTATTTCTTATTTTACTAATATACCATCATATCAATAGCTTTAAAATATTTAAAACATCCAAATCGAAAAAAAGTCTAATTAATTATACTAAATAATTATATTGAGAACTTATAATCGCCTCTTATAAGTTACTGCCTACAAATCCCGCCGCCAATGGTCACATAATAAATTCAATTACTAATATGCCGAGTGCATACAGTACCGAGAAAGCCTTAGGTGCAACAAACTAATCGTTAATGATATTTAAACACTTACAAAATACAAAAATAAAACGTCAATAAATATTAATCTATTGCCGGACATTCAATACGCGGATTAAGATCGGATTACATACGGACATTTAAAATTTTTCTGGAATGCCATAATTTTTCTTCACAATATAGTCAGTCTACCAGATCTCTATTATTATAGCTATCGATTGTACAATTTTTTTTTAATTGTATGAATTAATTATAATTAATTTATCCAATGGGCAACTTAATGCTTCTTATCATCTATATTGTCTTCTTAAAGCCATATTTTGTTCATCAGTCATATATTAAAGAATACGAAAAAATCCTGAATGATTATATTCTATTATTAGAATTTGATTGCATGGTTAGCATATTATTCAAATAAAACAAATACATTTTTACATGTTTTGAAATTTAATCTTGATATCGAAATTGAATGAAAGTGTGAACTGGATTCAAATTTTCCCTTATCAGATTAGTAAAAGTTCTTAAAGGAGTTCCCATGTCAACAAACGGTGACATGTAAGCCTACCCCAGTCACCGATTAGATAACATTTGAGAGGAAAGTTTGAGTATGGAATTCGATGACCAAACGCGATGGGACACTAATAAAAAGAATTAATAAAATAAAAAGTACATGCGACCGCTTGTGACACCGACCATGTCATTTCAATTAACATTTAAAGAAATATGCTTTAGGCCGATGCGCGAAGAACATGAATAAGATAAAATCCCCTTTTCATGTGAGTGATAACACGGATTACAGATTGTTTTGACAATTCCACTACTTTTTGTTCTTGGCCTACGTTTTGGGACATGGTATTTTCTTTTTCTGTATGTGCTGTATATTTTACGTACCTACTTAGTATAAAGAAACATGGAAAATATTTGGAAAAATCTATTATTGGGGTCTTTCTTTTTATTAACGCAATAGAACCCAAAACAAAGTGGCTTAGAATTTTTGTTTCTGTTTGTGCGTTTGTGCGCGCTAATCGCAGAAACGGCTAAGCCGATTCGGGTGTTGTTTTTACTAATCTATTGTGGTAAGCTTCACTTAACATTTAGTATTTGTTTTATTTCAATCGGTTCATAAATAAAAAGTTGAGTCAATTTAAAAAATCACCAAGTATAATAATAAATTTCAATTTCCTTTCTTTAGTCAGCTATTAATATTCAACAAAAATAATTCCATAATCTCATCATATATCTAAAAGATTACAACACTCAGGTAGTTTTAAATCACGTCTAGTCTAACAGATAAGTTGTTTAACACAAGACATAACGTCTGCATTGCGAATGCTGTTATCAAAATTTTAATTATAATGTAAACATTTTTCTCACGTAGAGCCTCAGAAATATTGTTTGTTCTAAGATAAAAAAGTCGCAAGCTTTGATATTTATAGGAATTTACTACTTAATTACATTATTTATTTGGTTTCAGTCTTAAATTTAAGCACCTTGATGACGCAGAACAAGCATGATTAAATAATTATAAGAGTCAACACGTTTTGTTTGTTTATTTCTACGATTAGTATATAGGAAGTGCTCAAATATTATCTGTATTGTATTTTTATTTCTCCTTAATTTCTTTTTACGATTTTATACAATAAAGATTAATATATAATTTGTCATTTAGTACTTAAGTTTGAGTATATCTTTTTTAAATCTGTCAAATAAATCACATACTGTAATTCATATAATATAATGTATCATATCTATACATATAATAAAATTGTAACTGAGTTGAATCTGTACATTAATTTTTTTTGGAAAATCTTCCTGAAATAGTCATTATAATAGATACAGAGGCCGAATCTATAGTTTTTAGAATTTTTGTCCGTCTGTCTGTCTGGGAACGCATCACGAGAAAACTACTGGACAAATGAGGAAATTTGGTATGATAGTAGTTTGTTATCTGGGTCAACATATAGGATACTTTTTATGCAAGAAAATATCTCATCTCTGCGAACTCTATGCTAACCGTTAAAACGTAGCAAGGGACGAACTCGAATGTGAGGGTGAGTCGCTAGTATTTAATTTAAGACTGATGTTAAAACGTTTATGTATCACACAAACATTTATTCGAAGACAGGAATAAACATTGAGAGCACCAATGGGCCACATTTCTTTCGTAACAAGAAAAAACGTAAACATTGCTCAAGTTCCATAATAGACATAGGCTAATTTTTGAAAAGACAACGTAATCTGAACTCGACAAACCAAACATTTTACTTTGATCATGCCGACAACAAGTAGTTTCACTTTTACTTGAGATATTTTAAACGACTAACTATTAAGGTAAAATGATAAGGAATCAACAAAATCTGTCAAAAATAGCCAAGTTAGTGAGTAAATTACTAAGATAGTGAAGTACTTATAGAGTAAAGTGTTCTTTTAACATCCACATTATTTTTAAGATATTGTTATTATATTTTATCCACAGTTAAGGACAACCTTAAATAGGTTTCAGTGTTATCTACATATTTGTATATCAATTACGAGAAAAAATAATCGTATCTACACTAGTTCTCATTAACTTATCTTTGTCGCGAATTTTTGAATAATATGGACGTATGTTTACATTCATATCCATACTAATATTATAAATGTAAAAGTGTGTTTGTTTCTTTGGTTGTTTGTTTGTTTGTTTGTTTGTTTGTTTGTTTGTTTGTATGTTTATTTGTCCTTCTTTCACGTAGAAATGGAATGACAGATTGGTGTGATTTATGTGTGGAGATATTTGGAGGGTTGGAGAGCGACATAGGCTACTTTTTACCGCGGGAGATTATCTCATTCCCACGGGAAAACACGTTATAATACAACCCAAAAAAATATTTATGATTAGAATTACTTGAAACTCGATGTTAATGCTCTTTAATACAATTAAATAAATACATGTTTTAGTATTTTTGGAAATTCATCCCGTAAGGGGGTAAATTAGGGGATGAGAGTTTGTATGAAACCTAACTTTTTACAGTTTTTTTTAGTTTTAGTGCAAGCGAAGCCCCACGGATTCTGCTAGTATATTATAATAATATATACGTTGACAGTATTTATAATAGTATATGGAAAATTAGTAAAACATTCAAAAGTGTGTATGGAAATCAGTTTTCCCTCATGTACATTCATAAACCTTTATTCAATTGAAGTAGGATTTTCTCCTATTCCTTACAATTCTTGATTCGATACGTAGAAACGTGATTTGTCGCGCTCTAATTCTGTTTTATCAGTCAAAGACTCATCAAATGCTACTTGTAAATCACAACTACCGTTTGAAATGAACACGAGGATAATTTATATATGTAACTGAGATCATACTTTTTTCCATACAAACCACTGCCCGTGGTTGCTCTCGTGTTTATTATATATTGTGTTAATATTTTTAGTCAGTATATTATATATTGTGTTAATATTTTTAGTCGCTAAATGACCGCTTCTACGCAATGATAGGAATGCATGAAACGCGAGTTCAAGCTGGCTATATTGTTTTGTTCTTAAAGGGAGACTATATAAAGAAATTCTAATTATTATAAAGCCTTAAAAATATATTTAAAAGTACTTATAGGTACGTATCATTACGAGTATAATATGAACTAGAATAAAAATTTTATTACAGGGATTAAAACTTATTAGATACGATTACAAATGTGATGATGATGATGTTCTCCTGACCGATTCCGGCCACGGCGGCCAATCTCATTGAGACTAGCCAACTGCGCAGGAGATATTATAGTGCACAAGTGTACGCGCAGACACAAGTGCACTCTCTATTCCTGTCACTCTCATACTCTGGTGGGACGACCACTCGACACGACCAGTGAGAGTTAAGGCGCAGGACCGACGGCTTTACGTGCTCTCCGAGGCACGGGGGTGAAACACCTCCAACTTCCCAACTCCGGGCTGTTACTGAGGCTTAACATACAGAAACACTCAATAACTAAACTTGGCCCGACCCGGGACTCGAACCCAGGACCTCCGGGTGTGCAGCCGTACATGCTAGCCACTACACCACCGAAGCAGATTACAAATGTAATGACCGTATAATATTAGCATTACTTATTGTTGTAACACATAAAATATACTTATTACCTATACTATATTCTGTTTCTGGTAATACATACAAATATTACAAGAATATAGAATATAGTATATTTATTCTTGTAATATACCTACTATATTCTTGTAATACATAAAAAGTATTGCCTTAAAAATAATTGAAAGTTAAAAGAAATAACGACTTTACGATATAATTGTTTTTTTTTTATTTACTACTCTTATGTACTTATAAACTATAATATTATATATTATACATATATTTTTTTATTACATACCTTCACTCAACAACTTTTTCGTATCTATTATGTATTTATATTTTATTGAACAATTAAATATCCAAAAATTTAAATATGTTATTTACACATACACATTCACACACTCCCTTTCACATCTTCCAGTGATATCATTTTCTTGATGCATAGCTTTTCTTAACCCCCGATGCAAAAAGAGAGTTGTCTGTCTGTGGCATCGTAGCTCTCAAACGGATGAACCGATTTTGATGCGGTTTTTCCATTTGAAAGCCATTTTCCTTGCGGTGGTTCTTAGCTATGTTTGGTTAATATCGGTCCAGCAGTGTAAGAGTATCAGCTCTTTTCCAAAATGATGTAAGGCATTTTGGCGTATCATTACTCGATAAGTGCTTCACGC